GTTGATGCACCCACATTCTTGTCTAGTTATTGCAAGAAGCAAGTGTCAGGTTAACTGTAGTGCTCAACAAGTTGAAGGAGGCAGGAGAGAGCACCGTTTCTGCTTACAGGAAAGATTCAGGAGTTAAAAAGAGCTTGGGTAAGTTGGACACTCAGGGATTTATCTTCCTTGTTGCCTTTTAATAAAAGCTGCTTTAAAGGGCATGTGAATGTTTGTGGTAACTGAACGGAGCCACCCAGACAGCAAATGGGGGTGATCGTGAAACGCCCTTTAAAAGGCCTGTTTCCAAGCTGCCCTATATGACTGGCTTCAGCCAGTGCCAGGAATGAAACTTGAGCATGGGCTTTATGCGCTTGCATTGAATGTGCTGAACTTGGACCTGGCAGGGTTTATAAGATTTTTATACGTGACTGGAGAACAGATTGATGCTGCCATTAAAATTCTGAGTACAAAAGGTCATAACTCATCGCCCCGTTCTTCGTTATTTTACAGGCTTTGCTGCAAAGGCTGGGGCGTGGGGCTGCTTGGGATGTGAATTGGTTGTATTGGTTTCACAAGGCAGGGCAGCTGGTTTTAAGCATCTCTGTATCCTGTTTTTTTTTCCACCGACATTAAAATATTTCTCTCCATTTTTCTTGCTGTAGAAATCTCAGCGAGCTGATTGACAGGTTTGTGGCTGACTTCAAGGCTCAGGGTCCTCCCAAGCCCAATGTGGATGAGGGGGGAGCTGTCCTGCCCAGCTGTGCTGACCTGTTTGTTTATTACAAGAAGTGCATGGTGCAGTGTTCGCAGCTCAGCACAGGCGAGCCCATGATTGCACTGACCACCATCTTTCAGAAGTACCTCCGGGAATACGCCTGGAAAATTCTCTCTGGAAATCTGCCCAAGTAAGTGTTAGCAGCCCAAAGGCTGGGCACGGTCTGCAGAGCCTGGAAACGGTGTTTAGAGAATTTGGCAAACACAAGAACTGCCGTTTTAGTTTGAAAAGAGCCCCAGAGCCATGGTGTAAGTTGGGAAGATCCCTCCTCTAGATGCAAGGTACCATTCTGAGAAACAGCATGGCAGCAAGCTGAAAATAGGGGCTGCCATTTTCACAGGAGCCAGTTTCCTTTTACTCTGCAGCAGGTCCTGCAGCTCTTTTGAAAATCCCAAGAAAGTATGCACAATCTGATTTTTCGGGATTGCACATGCACACCTATTGCAGGGACAGACTTAGGCCCCCACTCTCCCCTGCCCTGCATGGTGTGAAGCAGGTAGAAGACCAAGCAGGTATTCAGGCGAGAAGGTAAAAGACCACCAAAGAGAGTGGATGATGTTCTCCACTGACTTTGTCTATGTTGACCCAAAGTACAGGGGCTGAGTGGTGGAAGAGGATCAGGCCACCCTCAAGCTGGGTGTCTCAACACAGAAGGCCAAATACCACCCTCTGTTTTGGCCTTTGTGCAAAGCAGGAAGAGAATCGTGTACTTTCCGTCCTGTAAATCAGGGCCAGGAAGCTGAGACAGTGACGTTCCTGTAACAACTGGTAGTGAAGGCAGTTTCTTCTAGATTTCCAAAGTCTCTCGGCTAGAACTGCTTTAGCTGGGTGTGTGCATTTGTACATGGGATATGTGCAGTGTATTATTACCAGGGATCCTGGTTTTCTCCAATTTAATAAAATCCCCAATTTTCAGATTAAAAAAAAGTAACCCCAAATCCACATTTTTCCATGAGTAAAATGAAACAACACCATATATACATCTATGTATTAGTGGTGATTTATTTTAATCTTGGAAAAATGTGGATTTGGGGTTATTTTTTTGTCTGAAAATTTGGGATTTTTTTAAATTGGAGAAAACCAGGATCCCTGATTATTACACACATGTAAATCCACTGAAATCAGTAGCATCTTTATGGGTATACACTAGTAAAAACACAAGTGAAATTTTCAGTGTGAAGTCATCAGTGCTAGCTACAGGTAACTGATATTTGTGACTGGTATTTGGAGGTTCTTTGTAAATAAATCTGGGGATGGCAAAGTGATTATTTGCTGAAACCAGCACAGTCTTTCATGTGTGGTTGTGGGAGTTGCATTTAGAGCAGCAGAGAGATGAATTGAGTGCGCCTCCATCGGATCTCAGTCACATTCTTTGAACATATGATTTTTTTTGTGCTCTATTTCTGCTGTCCAAAATAAATATTGCTGCCCTATTTTTTAAAAGGATTTGGATGATAGAGGGTTGAAATAGTTGGGGAATTTCCTGTCTCTCAACTGTTCTGATTCTTTGATTAACTGCTGTTTGTCACCAAATGAATAGAAAGTACAGGAGATAATCCCCAGAAATCATTTTTGTTGTCCTTGTAATTATCATGGTATTTGAAATGAATTCTACAGTCTCAGATATATGGCAAGTTTGTTTAGTTATCGGATACCAAATATAACTTAGTTGTGTAATGGTTAACGAGAGCTTTCTGTAACTGTTTGAGCAGCTGACAATTAAGGTTAAGTTAGCCTAGAAGAGAATGTTAGATCTGGTTGAGGTCTAATCAGTTGAAGCTTTGGGATGTCATAGGAAGATGTATGAAATGATCATAATGAGTCCTTCTGGGTTAAAATCTAAGAAAACCAGAGCTTTTGTCAATGTGTGTGTGTCCATCTTTCCCCCAGAACAACCAGCAGTAGTGGTGGGCTGACCATCACGAGTCTGCTGAAAGAGAAGGAGGGCTCGGAAGTAGCAAAGTTCACTTTGGAAGAGCTCTGCCTGATCTGCAGCATCCTGAGCACAGCAGAGTACTGTCTGGCCACAACCCAACAGGTGAGCTGCCCTCTGCCACCCTTCTAATACAGTGTCTCACCTACCTGGCGGCAAGGCACAGTCACAAAGGAAAGGAGGTGAGCTGCCCTAGGCAGCAGGACCAGCTAATTGAGTCTCACATTAAAGGTTGCTATGCATTGAAAAAAGTGCTGAAATGTACATAGCAACCCCCTGCTCTGCATAATGCTGCATTAATTATAGACCGTAAGTTAGTTAAAGGAAGGTTCTCGCTTTTGTTATCCTAGCGGGTCAGAACAGCGTTGTACGTTGAACCCTAATTGCTGCCTCACTTCCAAAGAGCATCCTTTTGTGCTCTCTATGTAGTTTGCTTTAGTCCAAGAGGGAGAAAGATAATCAGTCTCTTTCCATTATCTTTCCAGGCTTATTAACCAAATTTTTTCAAGCAGGGGAAAAAAAGGGGAAAAAATAAATTAATGTAGATCTAGGAGTTGGCTTAATGGCAGAGTTTCAAGGCAAGGTGGATGCAAGGTCTCTTAAAATGCTCCCCATTGGGCTTGTGCCTTTACTGTGACTTGTACGGTAACAGTGCTCTGAGAAGTCCCTAGGTCAGTAGATATGTCTTTGACAGTCATTATCTAGCTAGTGCAGGGGGGGTGAACCAGGGATCTCTAGGTCACAGCATGCGCTGCAATACAGAGAGTGAAAGAGCCCATGTACTCTTGCAGAGGCTCATAACGTGCATGTTTTCTGCAGGTGAGGTGCAGACAGGGGCCTGTAATGCACCTTCATTGGTGCGGCAGGGATCTGTCTTAAGTTATTAGATTCTTGCTACGTTGTCATGATAGATTTGTGTCCTGAGCCTGAAATGCTGGCATGTGCAACCTTGGAGGTTAACTGCTTTGAGGACACATGTCATCAGTTGTTATCCCAGGAAACCATGGTGTCTAGAGCATGCGGCAGAGAGGAGAGTTCCATTCCTGATGCCACTTCCCACTAAACAGATCTTGGACAAGTTGCAGTGTGAGAAGAAATAGTGTAGGTGCATTTCCTGATGTCAGAAGCTGACTTTCCCCAGCACTTAAGCTTGAGGGTTATGAATTGAAGTAGAAATCTGATCTCTGCTTGTTACTTCTTTTGCTCCTTGACAGCTTGAAGAAAAGCTCAAAGAAAAGGTGGATGCAAGTCTCATGGAAAGGATCAACCTGACAGGGGAGATGGACACCTTCAGCATGTACGTCTTGCACACACATCTTTCCATAGTGCTAGCAAACACCATGGCCAGTGAGTTCAGCGACGTTGCTCCAGGCCAGGTCTGTCGGGTGAACTGGTTGACTAGGAATGCCAGGATGCACGGGGCTAGGCTGGTGAAGCAGGGTGCTGCCATCGCTATGAGTGCTCCCAGTCATTCTAGTCAAAGGATCGAGAGCCCTGGAGAGAAGAAAGGAAATAGTGAGCTTGTATCATTGTATCATTTGCATCTTGGCAGCTCTCTGAGGTTGCTGTTCCCTTTCAGGAGAGCTGTTTTAGTACATTGCCTTTCCTGCTGTCATTTCCCAGTGTTAACCAGCAGAGTTGTCAATACACTCAAGGCCTCTTTTGCATAGCATGGAAAGATAGTTTACCTTTGAATGGAACTGGGCAAATGGCGATTGTGCATTAAGATGACTTTCCTTACCTCCAGTATTACCTTTCATTGGATGATCTAAAAGTTTTCTCTAACGACTGAAGAACTTAGCCTGTCAGTATAGCGTTCTCCCCATTTTTGAGATGAGGGAACCTAAGCACACGGTGATTTCTTGCCTTGTCCAATGTCAGAAAAAGTTCTTGGCAAAGGCAGGAACAGAGCCCAGCTCTCCTAACACGCTTGCTTTGGTCTCTTGACTGCCCTTCCTCCGAATGCACTTTTTAATTAAAGAGTGCACTGTTCCTGTCTTCCTGGCCCTCTTCCCCACTCCCAGGAGCTGGGTTTTAGTAGTGATAGCCAGTGTGTGCCAGGTTTCTGCAAGGCTTTCCTTTCTGCAGCTCCTCTCTTGCCCTGACGGCAGGGTGCCAGCCAAATCCTAATCCAGGTCTTTTAAGTCCAGTTCCTTCAGACATGAACCAGCCCCCTTCCCCTGCACTGCTGCTTTCTGAGCAGAGTGAGTCCCTGGGGCTACATGTGCTGTTCTATTGCATGGTAAAATTGTCCTGAGCTGGAGGAGTGGAGGGGAAGTTCTGCGTTCTCTCATGACCTTTCCGTTATAAACCTACCGTTTTATACATCGTCATGCAGCTTCCACTGTGGTTTCCTCACAAGGCGGCTCATTCTATTCAGCTAATGAGATGAGGTTTGGGAAGCTGCTTTTACGTACAGTTCGCACATTTGCCACTTAGGATGACTTTAAAGCTAGACCTTGGAGGCTGATTTGCCTGGTAATAAGGATACATTTTTAATTGCCTCCCATTGGGTTCCAGAGTAGCACTTTACCCAAAGTCCTGTCAGTGGATGTTGTGACTTTTCCTTTCGCAGAACCTAAGAAATCCTGCATACCGCTAGCAGAGGTGGGAAGCTCTCATTACAGGATAACTATAAAGCTCTTTTTTGCTGTTTTGACGCTTTCCATTTATATAACAAATGCGTTTCTTCTGTTGGAATTTGACGTCTAGCTGTGCAGAGCAGCAAAAAAAAAAAAAAAAGAAAAAAAGTTTCTGCTAACATACAAGTGTAATTAGGTATAGAAGCTTTTTTTTTTTAACCCTTCCCTTTGAAGTTGCACAAGGAAATAAAAAAAAAAAAAAACCCCAACAGAAAGAAAACATTGCAAAGACCTTAGAGGGGTTTTCATTCCCACTCGTGAGTGGTGCTGTCACTAGAATGGCCATGCAGGACAGTCAGGGAGCAGCAGCAAGGGGACAGTCCCTTCTGGAGCAGACTTGGAAGAAACATTGCAGTGTGGCTTGAATGTGTGCTTCTCCTGCCAGTCAGCCGTGTGACCGAGGGCATGTCCTCTGGGGACTTCTCGAGAAACCTGAAGGACTTTCATAGATTTGCAGATGTTAGGGTCGGAAGGGACCTCAATAGGTCATCGAGTCCGACCCCCTGCCCTGCATCGAGTCCGACTTGTCCCAGGGTGAGCGGGTGTTCAGTGTCAAACATCTCTGGTTCCTTTGGAAAGCCTAGTCGTCTTGTCCTGTGCATCAGCTTCCTTGTCTGTCCAATTGAGAGGCTATTTGCCTTTCTCCCAGGGGTTTGTAGGGTTCAGTTGTTTGGGGTGGTAAAGCAGTGTTGCAGGCTCTTTGGGGCAGAGATCAGCTGTCTGCTTGTGTATTTGTACAGCACCCAGTACCGCAAGGTCCTCTTCTGACGGGGGCTTTTGTGTGCACCTGTCACACAACAATAGTGCCCTGACATCAGTGACACTGTGATTGCCTGCGATCCTGCTGTCTCTGCAAACAGGTCCCCATTCAGTTTAGAAAGTGAGATGAGTATACCAGTTGCCATCTCGCGCTCTCTCGCTGCTGGCCAGGCTCCACATAAGGTGACAGAGCTCTACATGTATGTATCCCTAATGTGTAGGAGCTCGTCTTGGAGCTGCTTACCTTCTAGTCAGCTTGTCCTGTGTCAGTTTGGCGCTAAACCACAGCACTTTCCTACTTCTTGCTAATGGTAGATACTTGACAGCGCTCCAGCAGGCCGAGGTCAGCCGTGTTATCTCCGCTTAGTTCTCTTGGCATTGCTTCAGCGTGTGGGGTTCCCTGAGGGAGCAAAGCCTGCTGTGCTGGCTCCTTGGCAGAGAGACACGCCAGCCAAATGGTTACAGTCACAAGCGTTTAAATTTCAGTGCAAACGCTGCATCATTTATGTAAAGGCAGCCACAGCCTCCTGTCTGGTAGTATAATTTTTCTGCATGTTTCTGGCAGGCTTGGCTGTCAAGGTGACTTGTGAAAAACAAATGCCGTGTTGGACAGGAGCGAGGCTTCTTGTTAGGGCACCGCTCCTGCCCACCTGTGTGCAGAGCTCTACGCTGGAGACTTGACAGCCCGCCAGGGCATTGGCGGGAGGAGTGAATTGGTGGCTGGGCAAGGGCTTCTGTGTCCTTGTCGAGGATGGCTGTGCCAGAGCTGTTAGAAGGACTTGCAGCAAAATAATCGGAGGGAACTAAGCATTGCAGGCCTCTAACCCTGGTGTTCTTGGAAGACGTAAGGCTCGTTCTGAAGTGGAAACCTACCTTTATTTTGTTGAATATCAAGTTGCCTGTGTGCTCTTCGAAAGCAGTCTCTAGGGTCGTGTTGGGCCCTGTGCCTTTGAAGTTGAGCTGCAATCCAGAAAACAAACATCCAGTGTTCTTTTACTATTGTTTTAGGGGTAGGAGCATCGGTTTTATGCGGTGGGGTCTAACAGGGCTCTCAGTAACGTGAGTCTTTTTGCATTTGCAAGGTTGCAGGGAGGAATCACGGTTTTTAGTAATATTCTGTAACTTGGGAGGTGTCTGGAGGGACTAGAGCAAGGGAGTGATGCAGTTCTAGATGTGAAATAAATAAGCTGCCTGCCTTTGCCCCGCTTAATGGAAGACAGATTGTAATATCTGAGATATTAAAACTTCTGCAAATGAAGGGATGCAGCATTTTAAAAGCCTTCCTGTAGGCTTCTGTGGTTAGTGCACGAAAAACACAGCAGGGGAGGGTACAGGCCCAGGAAAGGGCACTGCTTAGAGCTGTGCCTTAGAAAGGAAATTGGAATTTCGAGCCTTAATTAACTTTGAGACAAAAGCACAAACAGCCTTCACGATTCAGGGGCTCATCCTCTTGCTAGTGCAGAGTGGCTTAGTTGCTGTGGTTACTGATATAACTTGCACAGCACATGACTGATCCCTGCCACCACTTTTGCTGGTGTCAGGCAGGAGGTTGTGGGTGCCATGAAGCAAACGTTCTAGCTGGGCCTCTCTTCATAGCCCTGTGCAAACGTAGCTTCTCCTCTTCTCATAGTCAAGAAGCTGGTTTTGGCACAGATTTGCTGAGTTCTCTGGTAATGCCTGTGCTTGATTTATTTTTGCAGTGTGATCTCAAACAGCATACAGCTGTTGGTGCAAGACTTGGATGCAGCCTGCGACCCAGCACTAACTGCTATGAGCAAGGTAGGTTTTGTAGAAGAGGGAGCAGTGACCCACCGTTTGTGGTTCTTTCTCACTTTTAATGGCTTGAGTTCATTCCTGATTTTCCTTCACCTCTTCTGGAGAGTGCACTTTGGTTCTTCAAGCAGCATCCTCTGTAGCATTAAAGACAGCCAGGTTAGAGCCATTCCCTTACCATAGACCAAACCACCTTCACACATTCTTTAAGTAATTGTTCCAGGCTCCTCATCTCTGCTCTTGCAATGATTTGAATCTTTGAGGTCAGGGGAAGTTTTACAAGCATCAGATTCCAAGCATGCTTTCTCACTAGCCTCAGACAAGGAGTCCTACCAAACCTTTTCTGATCCCAGTTGCTAGCGGGTGGCCAATTAATTGTTCACAAGGGCACTCTGGGGTTGAGCCCTCTCACTTTTCCGATGCTCTTGGAGAGACACAGTCATGAACAGAAAGACAGAAGGTAAAGTTCCCTCCCATTCAACAGTCCTTTAGGATGTGGCTGTCGCATTGTTATCTTTTGTACATCTGTTGGAACGGGGAAATGTGTGCATCTACCCAACATAGCATGAAAACCCAGATTGCTTTAGACAGAGGTAAGGGCAACAGAGTAAGATTGAACTTTTTTTTTTTTTAATTAGAAATATTAACATATGCCTCCATTTTGTAGGATAAACACATTTCGTAGCTGCCATGAGTTTTAATAGCATTCTGGTTTATGATGTATTCCAGCTGCAACTAGCCTCCACTCCCAGCTAATACTTGAGTTGGACTCCAGCTGGTAATAGAATTTGTCTGTATCCCAAATGGAAAGAGGATTTTTCCAGTAAAATAACACCAGGGGAGGGGCGTAGCACTTCAGGTGTTGCTTATATTCCCTGTCAGTTCCTTAGATTCTTTTTCCCCCCTAGCCAGTCTGTTCAGCTCTCTCCGGTCTGTCTCTTTATACCGTAGCATAACAATAGGGCTCAAAACAGCAGCTGGTAGGCCATTTATTTTTGTCGTGGAGCACCAGCAAAATGAAATCCATGTGAATGGGAACCAGCAGATATAAACAAGCTAAGTGCTCTGAAATTAGCTAAATAAATACTTTTCATTTGCCCTAGCCTTCCACCTTTGCCACCAGACTATCAGTTGCTGCAACTTGACTTTTACTGGAGTTCTGAAAAGCCTGGATTTTGGTGGAAGGTGTTTTTTTTTTGTTGGGTTTTTTTTACTTTGCCAAGACCCCTGTATTGCTTCTCCAGCCAAAAATCAAATGCACAACATTTTTTCATGTTGGAGTGTTTGGAAAAGTCGCATTTCAGTCTCCCTTGGCAGGGTGAAGAACGTGCATGTGTACCCAGTTTAATTGTCCTATTGTATGAGTATGTCTCATAAGGCCACTGCTTTATCTGAGGTTGCCTTTTGTTCAGATCTTTCACGTTTCCTTCACTCCTCAGCGTTTTGCAGGATTGAATGCTCTGTGGTTGTGTTAAGTTTGAAATGTAACTTTGTTCTCATGGGAAAGGTTTTGGTAGATGCGGCGGTCAGTTGTGAAGTCTCACTCGCTTGCTTTATGGCACAAATTGATTTTTGCACAGAAAATAATGTGAAGGGAAGTTTCAGGTGGAAGTGGTGGCCAGGTTTGCTAACTTTGTACTATGCTTATTTGTGGCCTGTGTTAAATAAAGACTGGACCCCAGCTTACAAAATGCGGAGCTTGGTATTGTGTGGACGCCCACCTTGCTGCAGTTATTCGACCCCAGCAGTCTTTCCTGCCCGGGGCAGGGGGGTTGGACTTGATGATCTCACAAGGTCCCTTCCAGCCCTAAACGTCTGTGAATCTGTCTTTGCTTGCCTCTAAACAGTTACCACTCATAGGTGCTTGGCTGTTGTGGGGCACTGCTTCTGTTTTAGGTTGTCCTTTGCCTGGCCCTACAGTCTTCGACATAATTATAAGTAGAGCACTACATACAGCCTGCAAGCTTGAGGCAGGAGAACTGCCTTTCCGTGTCCGCATTGTTCCCTAGTGTGTGCCAAGCTCTGCGTCCACATTGTATTTGTTGGTACTTATGTGGGGTGCTAGGATGCGTGGGAACATATCCCAAGGGTCCTAGCACTCTGCAGAGTGGACTGCCTCATCTTTCATGACCCCCAGAGTGGAAACTATTTTACCTGATCCATTGCTTGTGGCTGTGTCAGTTCTACGCACTGCTTAGGGGCAGGAAATGTATGTGTTCGTTATGACCGCAGGTCCACGGGAGGAACACCCCCTGGCTGTGGCGTGACTTGTCGGTGCGGTTGTTCAGAGAGATGCCGGAGGGCCTTTGAGATGTATACAGTCTCAGAAGGGTGCCACCCTTGGAGGAGGGTCCCACGGCAGGTTTGGAAGATGCAATGCATGCCACTTCTGCAGCACTCCTAGAGCAGAGCTGGCGTGGCATGGAGGGATCAGATCATCTGGCGGACCTGTACTGGCCAGTAGTGGCTCTGGGACTTCTGCAGGAGGAAACAGCCCTTGGTGGGACTGTGAAGCGCCTGCCCCACGTCATGCAAATGGTGGTCGTGCAGTTGTCATGTTGGCTCTCCTACCTCAGCAGCTGTTTGGGCACCAGGCAAACGCTCTCTGGAGATGTCCCCCAACAAACGCAAAGGGGAGTGGGGGAAACCATCTGATTCCTGACAAGTACATTTAAAATGACAGGAACCAAGATTTTCCAGGAGAGTTAGGTTCATGTTTCTTGGATAGCTTTTCAGTCTGTGTACACTACAGCTTTGATCACAGCTACTGTTTGTTTTGTTGGAGCACACCCACAGACAGGAAGGGCTATTTTTAATACACATATTTGTAAGATTGGCTGCAAGAAATAGGCATAAGGGTTTCTCTGTCCACTGAGTTGCACCCTCCTGCTGATTCTGGTTGCACTCTGAACATCCCCACAGCTTATTCATGTCAAATTCCCATTGGGAGAGGAGGCATGGTTGGGAATATGTGAAAGTGTGCTAGGCAGGCAAGGGACTAGGGATATGTGTCTGGGTGCACTGATTGCTGTGAGCAGTTGCTCAGAACAATCCAGTTACTCTTCAGTTGGTCCAATGCAAGGTTGGTAAAGTAAGAGGTAAACAGGTACATAGAAGAACGTCCTGCCTGCCTGCCCTGCTATGTTTCTCTTCAATTTGACACCTTAACCTGCTATGGGCAATGTGCAGACTGCTGTTAGACTCTGGGGACTTACAGACTTTGGCTTTATTCACCCATTAAGTCATCTGTGCTGCACATCGCTTAGATGGAGTTGAATCTGGAAAGCTGATTGGACCAAAGTGCCTTTAGTAAGATTAAAAGTAGAAGCATTACAGAATTAAGCAGATTTGTAGGTAAGAATTGGGTAAATTCTGGGCAGTTATTTTCTCAAATGACAACTGTGTAATCAGGACTTTTGGGGAGGCTTCCTCTGAGGCAACCCGGAGCTGCCGACAAGAAATTTTCCAGCAGGCTGCTCTACGCCCTTTGTGCATGCTGGAAGCTGTTTAGTCCTTATACGCTACGTGTGTGCCTACACCCACAGCTCACACGACCACCTCCACTCTGTATCAGGATACAGTAGGGTCAGCCTAGGGGCTCTGTTACTTCACACCTTCTCTTGTCGCTCCAGGGAGTCTGTGCTTTTGAGATAAAGCAGATGTGCACTTTTGTGAGGAAAAGCTGGACTGCTTTGAGGGTTTCATTATGGGCTGACAAAGAAGGCAGCCTTGCTTAGAGAGCAATTCTCGGTGGACTCTACAGATCTCCAAAGGGTGGATGTGCAAGTGTGGGCACTTACTGCAGTGTGCTTCGTGTTTCCTTATGGTTTAAAGCCTGGTGAGTTCAAGCACCCTTTGGTTTGTCCTCCTCCTGCAGATGCAGTGGCAGAACGTGGAACATGTTGGTGACCAGAGTCCATACGTCACTTCGGTTATTCTTCACATTAAGCAGAATGTCCCCATCATCCGTGACAACCTGGCATCCACAAGAAAATACTTCACCCAGTTCTGTATTAAATTTGCAAAGTAAGTCCCTGTCCTACCTTGGCATTCTCTAGGCGTTCCGGGTCCCATTAGCCGGCTTGTATGTCGTGACATACTTGTCTTCTAGCACTTCACATCAGTGGCTCTTGGCTTTCTGAGTCAAGCCCTCCACGAGTCTGGGAGGAGTGTGAGGGAGTTGTCATGAGACTGAAAGATGCTTCCCTTCCTCATCTTGAGTTTCCTACTGAAACACATTTGCCTTAGTCATTTGCTTTCATAGGTTCTTTCTCACATGCCTTGACCACCCTATAAACCTTTTTGATGAACACTGGCGAACCGCTTGCTAAGTAATGAAGGTTCTTGTTTGGGCATTCATAGGAAAATCAGTCCTGTGCGGGTGAATGGGGAGTCCTGATATAGGAGAGACTGACAGACTGCATTTAAGTATTTAATAAAATAACTCAGCATAGTTATGGGAAACATCTTACCCTGGCTATGAAGTTATGTATGAAACCTCATTACCATCATTCATCTTATAACAACACACCTTTGGAATAATCTGTGCACTGAGAGGGGGTGCATGTAACAAGAAACAGACCTACAAGGGCAAAGACAGAGCAGTCGGTTGTGCAGAAAGAGCCATTAAGAATGGAAACGAACATTAAAGTTTTGTGGAGTGGGCACACTGACCCACGTCCTGGTGTGTCACTTAGTGCTTGACAGGGCAGGAGTGACTGGGTAGCTGAGAGGGCCCGGCAGAGATGCTGGAATTAAGTGCCCACTTTCCATTGCCTACCAGCTGGAGTTGAGTGCTCGGCTCTTGGGTCCCTTGGAAATCTCAGCTTTAAAGGCTTATTGCATGGTTCTTTTAGAGTCCTGATTCCTAAAGCAACATCTGATTTGATGGAGAGATGTATAGTTTCTTTTAAGCTCCCTTTTCATTTGCCTACATCTATCTGAATCGTAGTTAGAGCTGCCACCCTCAGAGCTCTGCGCAGCCAGCCCAGCAGACAGTTTGGTGAGAAACCCTGCACTCCTAACACTACCTCCTGGTTCTGTTGTTCATAATAAGCATATCCCTGTGAAGCACATTGTATGGCATTGCCATTACTGTGTGGGTTTTCCATCCAAGGCTTCAGTTTCTATGAGTACTTTAGCAGGAAAGGAGGCAGTGAGATCTCTGGAGAGCCATTAGCTTCAGCAGCAGGGCGGATGGCCTGGGAATTATGTTCCCTCTTCTATCTCTGGGCACTTATTAGTTTGCATTAAGAAGCAGTTACTGATAAATCACACTATGACACCCTCTATAATCACTGTTTGAAATGCTGTCTCAGGGCAGATTTATTGTGTTTAAGCCTTCTATATGGTTACACTTGAATATTATATCGTTAACATGGTGATAAATAAAAAACCTGTTTACTCAGCTGTTCACAGCGCAGTCCCAATACCCCAGCTTAGTTGACTCCCTTTTAACTTTATTGCTAAGCACATACCAGGTTGACTGTGGAGAAAAGCCCCCAGCTCTCCCATCTAGGACAAGCCAAAGTCTGCAGTGAAATGAGGCACTGGATCAAAGATTGTTGTGGGGTAGACTATAGAAACCTGCAGAAAGTGAGATCCACTTTAAAGACTTCTTAACACAACTGAGTGAGTTCCAGGGCCCACAGAAGTACAGAGAGTCCTTTAGAAATGAGTGACTGATGGGTCTGTGAGAGGGGAAATTCAGTTCCTGGAATACCCGGGATGTAGAGGTTTTGCCAGTCTGTATTTGAAATCTTTTTGTAAAGCCTGGATATAAAGAGGTGTATAAATAAGTGGCACCCTGCATGACATCTTAATGTGTGCCTGGGGCCTGCGTCCAGAGAGTACTGGTGTCATAGGCTGGTCTCTCTTTACTTTTCTTGAGCTCCGCAGCACTAAGGCCCGTGGACCTGTACGTGGCACAGTTGTCGCATGTTGGTGTCTGTATCTTTGTGCCACCACCTTCCTCTTCCATCTCATCAACTTGTACCAAGGCCTGATGTTGAGTTACGGGACCACAAGGAGGGAAGACTTCTCATGTCACAAAACTTAATACCCAGGGATGTGAACTGAATGTGGAGGAAGAGAATTTGCCCTCAGAAATGAGATCACTTCTTAATTTATGTGCTTTTTGACCAAAATGTAACCTTGCCTGCCTGCCTTCCCCCTTCTCCCCCACCCACAAGGAGAGGGGAGTAGAAATACACTTGAATTGTAGCCTGCAAGAAGGGCAGCACTAAAGCCCCTGGGCTTATAGTTGTATTATGTCTCATTTTTTTCCCTTTTTAGATGCAAAATACAACAGGGAGCCAGGGTGGGTGTTGCATAACCTACCATCCTGAGATCACCAGGGGATTAGGACTGAAGAACAAAGTAAAAGAAGCTGTGGTGCACTGTAGGGCTTTAATAATAGTCTTCCCTCTCTGTCACCCTCAGAAACTCCAGGTTACCTGTCCAGAGTAGAGCAGGGGTAATTGGAGTGGGAGCCTTTCCAATGACTTGGGTAGGCTGTGGGGCAGGCTCTTAGCAGAACTGTTTCAAAGGACGCTGAGACTCGGAGTGAAGACCTGATCTGAACTTTACAGGGGTTGGGGAAAGTAAGCGATTGTGTATTGCCGGTGACTCGGGATGCTTTGAACAGTGATCTGTAGTTCATCTCCCTTAAGACAGACCTGCTCTGGTTGCATCTCTGTCCTGCTTAGTGAGGTATTGTGTTTAATGCAACATCAGTGCAAAGGATTAGTAAGGCACAGGCTTGGCAAAGCCAGCTCCTTTTGGATAGGCGCCTTTCAAGTACTGCAACTTCCATCTTTTAGGCTCCTAATCTGTTTTGCTCTGCTTCATTAATGCCCGTGGGACTAGCCTGCTTGTGTGGAGGGTCTGGATGGGATTTTACAGCTCAGACTACGAAGAGGCTGGGCTGAAACTTCAGTGCGCATAAACCATGCAGAGAACAGTCAGTCTTCAGTGAAGGATGAGAGTCGTGTGCTAGAGGAGATCCAGGAGTTGGAGCTGACCTTAGGACTTGGGCTGTGTAGACCCAAGTCTTTGGAGAGCTGGAACCCCATTTGGCTGACGCAGCTCATCTCATTCTCTCTGCTGGGAATGGGAAGCTGTTTCCAATAAGAAAGGGCATAAAACAAGCTGTGTCCTGGGGTGCAAAGGTCACTCCCTTTGCCCTCCTGCCTTGATTGTGTGTGGCCGTCTTGTGAGGCCTTGACTTTTGTTTCATGTAAAACAAACCCCCACTATTGATGGCTGAAAGGGGGATCACTTCAGTCCCTTCTGAGCCCCAGCCCCTCTCTGAAACCCTGCAGAAGGAAACGTCACTACTCTCTCCCACCCACAACGTGGGAGCATTAATCCCAGGAAGCAACGACTGGACCTCCATGGGAGATCAAAAGTACAGTTAATCTCTCGCACTCTTCCATTTGCCACATCCAGAGCTGCTACTGATTGTCTGTTTTATATGATCACGTCAACTCCAGCTGGTCTTGGTGCTCTCTCTAATTGCCCTCTGGGACTTATTTATACACCTGAAAAATGGTCTTCTCAGCCCAGTAGCTTTCATTTCAGCTTTAATGCTTCCCTGAGGCGGGAGACAGTGTTTGCTTTCCTCCCATGATTTACTCTTTGTTGCCAAGGATAGTTTTCTCATGTGGCCAAATTGAAAACCATTTGAGGGCAGTCCAGTTGCTTGCTTTCGGTAATGGTTTTAAATTGTTCCCCAACGAGGCTCCTCACTAGGTAAAAGATTGTTTGCTGAGGGAGGCCAGAGCCCAGAGCTGGGAAGACAGAGGGAAGGGAGAAGCCTTCACGTGAAGAATCCTTCCTTTGAGCCCTCTTTCATTCAAAGCAGCTTTGTGTGCATAAGCTACAAATGCTGTGTGTCATTCTTATGCAAGTCGGGGCAAAAATGACCGGCCTGGCTAAAATAACAGGTGGCAGAACAAGCCAGATGCTGCCCAGGCTTCTTGTTTTGCAGGAAGGAAACTACCAGCTTGACATATGCAACGGGGAAACCAAACTGAATTCAAATCACTGCTGTAAGTAGAGCCTTATGTGGGGGACAGAAAACAGACTAATTAAAAAAAAAAAAATTCAGGGCTGAGCCATTACAATCTAAGTTTGCCACACAGTCACAGATGTGGGACTGGACACTGAGCTGTGCAGACATTCAGCTAAACAGAGGCCACATGAAGGAAGCAACATAAGTTAGAAATGAACCAACAGGAGGAAAGCCAGGGTATTGTTGATATGGTCCTGACCAGCAGCTCTTTAAGTTCCAGGTAGATACGTTCACAAAGCATGAGCTGGCCATTCACCACATCTTGCGCTTCTGAATGCATCCGGTGCTGGGGTTTAGTATTGCAGGTGGGTAGGAGGAATCTGAAGTTACCTGAGTGCTTGGGCCCCTTTCCGTTTCTCTGGCAGGGTAATAGGGTCTTCGTGGTGGTGGTGGTGGTGGTGGTGCCGGAATGGCACAAAGAGGGCGTGGCTGATTCTTCACGCCCAAGTCTTTTGTTTTCAGCACGTGAAATTGAGAGATGCATACACATCTGAAACGTGCGCTCGGGGTGTCTTTTGAGTGTGTTTTTATTTTCAGTACACCGAGGTCTTGCATGGCTTCCAGGGTGCCATTTGTGGGACTTCATTTGTAAATGAATGTAAGGCTTTTCTCCATGGGGTGGAGGCATCTCTTTCCATGTTAAAATGAAATCGGTAATCAAAGCCTAAAATCAAAGTGAAAGAGATTCTTGAAACCAGTAAATCACTATTCTGTGTCATATAGAGCAGTGGTCTCCAAAGTGGGGTGCACAAGGTGATCCATTGGGGTGCGGGAAGAAAATATTAGA